CTTAAATGAGAAAGAAACCATAAAATTGATTTATTTGATCAGAAATGAACAACTCTCTCGGGAAAAGGAAATATTGACAAATTGAACGAGCTTAACACCTGATTAGCAGGAGTACAACACAATTGTCATTCTACAACAAATTACATGAATCAAATCAATCATATGTCAAAGTGATAAATCAGAAATGCTGAGCTTAGAGCAGAAATGAATGATGCAAACACCTGAGTCCGAATTCATGCCAAGGGTGGATCGAGTTCTTTGTGGGGGATGGGAGGCTTTTTGTGAAGTTGATGGGTGGAACTGAGTTAACGCCTCTTAAGTAAATCATAAGCACTTGAAGTCACAGTGGCGGAAGATGAGGTACTGTTGACACCATTCACATCAATTTTCACTGCGTGATGAACTTTCCGGCTGACTTGAATCCGAGCTTGTCTCCTCACCCTCACGCCACGTTTCACCATGCGATAACGATGTGAAATCAGCTGCCTTCAAGCCAGCCCTTTGCACTTCTTCTTTCAGCAATCGTGGCGGTTCCAAATATGCCTTAAAATATGCACGTTAAAAGATAGGATTCATCGAAGATATTTGGCGTTTCAGTTGATACTAGTAAAGGATTTAACGAACGAAGTAAACATTGCAGATTAGTTACCAATCAACTGTACAGATTCCAATTCTTTTGACCAATAATTTTTTGTCAGGCTATTTATGGTTTCTCTCACTATTTGATCAAATAAAACAATTTATTCGTAAAAAAACAATTAGAAATTTGACTTGAATAATGCAGTGACCCAATAGAACTGATTATATAGTTAGAATGCATCTAAATATTGTAGATCCAGCATAGCACTCAAGTAAAACGTTAATGGCTGAAATGAAATTATACGATAATACTTCCACTGACCTCATTTGACCCCATTTCATAAGTTCCCCAATGAATAGCGATTGATTTTTTGGCACAAATTTTTTGATGGATTTTAACTGCCTCAGTTACATTGATATGTTGCGGTTTCATGAACCATCTGTAATTCGATGTACTCACAATCAGCATGAGAGAAATGAATAAATAAATCATCATATTCGAGTACACTCTAATTCTCTATAATTCTTCATCGACAAAAACTCAAGTACTCCTTAAAACGAGTACATCGATAACCAAGAACATATAAAACCATTCAGAATTCGTTGGATACTTGCTTTCCACAAGAACCACTTCATTTTTGCTAGTTTTCCTGAATGACGATGGAATGCTGTAAGTGTGAAATATTCAGAGATTGGTTCGTAACGAAACGTCCAATGGGCAGAAGCTGTTGGAATAGAATACATTTGTATCAATAAGTGCTTAAACTAACGATCCAAGTAATTCAAGTAATTTGCACCCTAATGTCAGCCATCACTATCTTTGATTGTCATTCTTGGTTTGCGAAGAAACTGCTTACCTGGGAGCATAACATCCAATTGGAATGGCGGCTAAGTCGAATGGTCCCAACTTCTTACCGAGAACATCAAACTCTCTCTCACAATAACCCGTATCACCGGCAAAATAAAACTTTCGTTCCTCACCAACCACAGCCCATCCACTCCATAGCGTCTACAATGTATGGAATAAACCACTCACAAAGTGCACGTTCACAGAAACAGCAAAAATGTGCACGTGACAATGACATAGTTTTATTTTATCGCGATGTTCATCGTATTCTACTGTATGATTTATTAATGCAAAGGGACAGTTAAAAACTATTGACACTTGAAAATCAAAAAATTCGAACTGAATTAAGTTCAGACTTAGACTGCTATGGTACTAGTCTCAAACTTTGGGTACTTATGCGTCTGAAATACTCGACAGTCGTACAACTGCACTATTGAAGTTTTCAGGAGGCTTAACTGAGAAATGAGCAAACTTAGAGGACACTTCATGAAATCGTCTGAAGAATCATCGACTACTAACTGAATAGAACTCTTCTACACGAGAAGAAGGAAGCTCGAACGATACTAACGATTGCTCGCTTCCTAGTGCTTCATTCATTAGAAT